TCCCTGGTTTACCAGTACCTCTGTCTTCAGTAAACAATGTTGCATTGATCCATCTAACTCTACTTTGAGGTCAATCAATAATATTTTACATTCACAATTAGCCAACGATATCAATTGCCAAGAGGAAAAGGCAATTTCCAACACCATGGGGCCTAGTTGATGAAAGAGTTCAAAGCATAATATATCAGTATCAAGGTGAGTGACTATTATTTACACCACAAATTATCATTAACATGCCCAAAATTCGTTCAGCTTTGAAGCTAGTTGATGCAATGAGAAGATATGATGAATTAAGTTGAAGATCATACACACAAGAATAACACTGTTATGGCCATTATCAGACCTATTCATTGTCTCATCTCCCTTTATACCATCTTCCATTACCTGTCAAGTTGTGATCCTGCAGAGATTATGCAAATGGATGGGATTAACAGTTGTAGCATAAAGTAGGTGTCAACCAAACTGGACAAGAGTAGTAACTGGGGTAATCTGCACCAAAGTAAAATGGTTCAACAATCCTGCTAGCCATGTTATACACCCCAGAATCACGATCCACGAAATGCTCATCATATCTCCACCAATGTTCAACTTTACTACCAATGAAATAGATGCTATTCCCTCTGATGTTGATCAAGTTGGCTGCAGAAACAGACATGGATATGTTATCACCAAGAAAGATTGCTCGATCTCCCAAATCCATTAATTGTGTCCATTCTCTTGCGCCGAAATCAAATTTAAACACGTCAAACTGTACTGGATCACCTGTATGATTTAAATTACCAACATAGACGTTTTGGTAAATCATCAAAAGTTCTCCGAACGATTCCACCAAAAATATTTGGTCCCTGGCCCATTCATGTGGGGGTGCTGCAATGTGCTCAATCACGGGGAGATGCGAATTGATGTCAACAACAAGAAGGGTACCAGTGGCAGAAATGGCAAAGATTTGATCGTTGAGGCAAGCAACATCCATGATCCTATACTGAAATGATTCTTCAACGGTTATCCATGAAGCATAGCCTGGTTTGGTAAAGGCCAGCTGCCTTAGAGGACCATAAATCGCCACAATCAGGAAATCCTCTTTGCTAGCAGTCGATTGGCTTGGTTTCCTCATCAGAATGGCCTTCTCTATCAACTGATACCAATCAACTGCTACGTTGAAGAGGAACTGGAATGTACTTGCTGCAGGCAGTCTTATTTGGTCTCTGGTAAAAGCATTCAAAAGATGGATTTCGAGGTCACTGCCTATAGTTACAAGCCACCCATCAGAGGATCCCCAGCACCTCCGACCACAAGCTTCAGGCAGCTCCAATTCGTATACCTTATCTCTGTACAAGCTAAAGAAACTCCTCATGTTACTGTTTTTATTATCAGAGAGCATTAGCCAAGGCACTTGAGGACCTGGAGTCCATTTTTTGGTCACGTAAAATGATCTCCAAGAACTACAAACAGCAGAAAATGCTAGAAAATCTTCAACAGCATCTAATCGAATTGCAATCATTTGAATGATATCATATGGAAGCTGGGACCAGTCAGCCATTTGTGATCTCTGATTGAAACATGAGAGAATAATGAAGTTTTGGACTATGATATGTATATGTAACAGCAAACCTTTAGATCATTGCATAAAATATGGGCACCTTAAAAACAAACTATAGTGGAAACATCAATAAGACAAGCACGAATCAACATCCTTGGATTATCTATCCGGAAAAATGAGATTTTTGTGAAAAGGACACGAATTCAAGCCCATTACAGATACAGACATCTTACTACTCAATCAACTGAAACTGTTCATGCTGTTTTTACTCCTTAACCAATTAATTATTAAAAAAAAAACAAGAATTTGCAGATAGTATTGGCCAATTGTAGAGGATCCACAAAGTTCAAGGCAACTGTAGCACTTGAAGGAGCAACCATCTATATAAGTTTGCTAAGGCATTGGGGAGACAACCCTCGTAACTTCACATAATTTGTACTTAATTAGCAAATTCACTGAATATGACACCAAGGACAAGTAGAAGCGACAGCTTAAGAGCTTCAACCACTACATTGAATTATCTTCTGTGTTTTCAATAATTTAATCCCCCCAAAATGGGATACAACTTTGACTTCCTACAATAATCCAGGCAGCAAAGTTACAAAGTGTCTTTCTTTAACTTATTCTTGAAGAGGAGGGCCAGAAATCTAGCAGTAGTTGGTGATGAAGATGGTAAGAATTGAATTCTCATCCCTCATCAACGAGGAAAATAAACTCATCATCAAATAGAAAACAGAATTCATTAACGGAAACAGAACTCTGGTAGCTAGGGTTATTATCATATATCTTTACAATCTTTAATCAAGTTATGATGCAAACCACTTACTAAAAAAAACCCTTCCTTAAACAAAGCACAAGGATTGCAAATCTTGATATCAAACCAAGAACTGAAATGCCTTCTACTAGATATATGATCTGCTACTTCAACAGGCTTTCTTGCAAGCATTTCAATCATATTCTAGTATGACATATCTTATTACCTGAAACTAAACTGGTAGCTGCTGAGGATAGATGAAAGGAGAACAAGACTGAAGTGTTCCCTGCTGCGACTCCAATGGTCTGTATTGACCTCAAAGTTGAGGTGATTTTCCAGTTCTATATCACTCAAATTCCAACTTCAAGAAGTTGACAGCACCAGGAAAGTCGAAGGTGTAGGAAAGATTGATCTCCACGGCAGTTGAAAGTCGGTGCACTTTGAAAAGTCTTCCCACGAGTAAGGACTAGCATTTATTTTTAGTAGACCTTGGAATTTCAAAAAGGATAGCATGCCGACGTAGCAATTCCCTCCTTCATTTTCATTTTCTTTTATATTACCATAAGCTTGTACGATATTAATGTGACACTTCCTGTGTTTTTTGTACTAAAGCTTGTCAACCTGATACCAAAATTCTGGTACAGTCCGCTGGACCAAACCGAATACTCATCCTCTGCCTCTAATTATATCATCAAAAATATTTATTCCTTCTCATTTGGTTACACATAAATATTGAAAAATTGTGGCATTGCAACATCCAAATTTACTAACTGGATGGTAACAAAAGTCAAAGAACGAAAGAAACACATTCAAAGTTCTTGTAAACAAATAGAGCTGCTAGAGAGCAGCTCTTTAGTAATTGGATGAAATGCCCACTTGAACTTGGTCAACATGGGCTCGAGTCTAGCTCGAGCATGCTTTGCTGAGATAACGAGCCAAACTCGAGCACATTAGTGTGTGTGTGTGTTTTTAACTAGAGTTTAAGTTCGAACTTGTCTCATGTTAAGACTTGAGTTCGATCAATTGTGTGGCTGTCAAGCTTGAGCTCAATCTTAGCCTTCGTAGATCTCAAGTTTTGATTTTAATTCTCAATCAAGTTCGAGTTCGAGTTCAAGCAAAACTTTTTCTCACTAGTTCCAGCTTGAGCAGAGCACTAATTCGTGCTCTACTTGCCTCATTTACACCCCTAATGGTTAAAGCAACAATAGTTTAGTTAGTAACATTAAATCATTTTGGTTCACTAAGTCACCCCTATGTAGTAATCAATGCCTTATTTTTCACCTCAAGAGAGAAACATTAGGAATTTTGAAACAATCCAGGTCATGTATTTATTTGTTTTTTCTTCTCTCTTTTGTATGGAGCAATATCACTTATCCAATTTGCATGAAGACTGACAGTTAAAAGGTTAATACAAACTGTATTCAATTTGATTCATGCAAAAATAAAAATGTACTGATATTAAGATTCTTGCATAGAAACATATGTACTATCACTCCTAGATTTGAAAAAAAAAAACCAAAAGAAAACGATTTCTTCACGTCACATGCTACTTACAAATTGATATAAGAGATAGAGAAAGCTTGTAATAATGTCAACTTGATGAAAAGAGGAAGACAATGGCACACCCCTTGAGAACTAGGCTCTTCTATTTTGGACAGACATTGAAGTAAATAACAAAACAAAGCCTAGTTTTGATTTTGCTATCTTTTTCCCTTTTTGTCTTTTTGATTTTGTTTTTGCTGCAGATGGGAGGCCGGAGAGCAGAGGAACTTGGTGCTGAAAAATAATTTGCGTGGATACCTTGTGGTTTTATGCCATATCACCCAATTTACATGCAAATAAGCTCTGTAAATCCTGTTGCAGGTTAATGTAAAAAACGAAACATATACAGCACCACCACCATCCAGTAGCGGCAGCTGGTGGGCTGTTGCTGGCAGTATATTCAGCAGGTGCATTCACAGCAACAGCGCCTCCGTGGACAGCACTGCAACCACCACCATCACCACAACTACCCGAGTCCTCAGCTCCAACTCCTCCCCTTGAAGCTGGAAGAGCAACTGCTAAGGCAAGCATGAGGCAAATAATAGCAACCCCTAGACAAACTTTCATGGAGGACTTCATCTCATACATATCAGTTTTGCACTTTTATTCTAGCCCAAGAGAGTCTTGTAAATAACTGAGCTCCAACTTTCAATGCATTTATGCATCTTTTTATAACATAATCACTCTTTAAGTAGACAACCCAAGGTGTGATCAGAATACTAAAATATGAACATTTCCTGGCGGTCAAGAGAATCCGGTTTTTGTACGTAAAATTGAGCATGAAAATCGAAGCTTGAGAACAAAAAGAAGCTTAGCTACTAGTTTTTTGGATTAGTTACATATATGTCATATACAATCAGCTAGGACAAACATTAAAGACTTGATCTTGTGGTCTTCTCATTAAATTTTGACAACAAAATTTCATTCCACTTGCAATTAAATTTCCCATGGGATTTGACAATAGTGCGTATTGATGATCGGGAATAAACTAAGGGAAGTTCTCTAGTTGGCAAACGATTGGCAAACGTGAAGGAAAATCCTCTAGGATCACAGTCAAATGTCGAAGTAAAACCTTTAATTTGAAAGAAGAAAAAAAAAATCCAAGAAGAACCAAAGGGTCAACGGGTACCATAATATTGTATCCAGGCAATGTGGAAAAAGTTGTCCTTTGAAGGTTAAATTGATATTACAAATATTCCCAGCTAGTATTCTGTACTAAGCCAAATTTGGATCTAAATCCAGAAACTAGATCAGACTTGGGTTCAAATCTGTGGAGACTTATGACTAGTGGAACTGCATTGTGCCTGAGAGGCATAGCCGATTCTGACACCATGCTAGCACAAGGATTCAGGGCTGGAACAGTTGCTCTGGAAGGTGTAATACCATTTGCACACGGTGTAACATCATCTGTATAAGGTGTAACAATAAAATAACGAGTAACACTAGAACAACATTTTTGTGGATCCCACACGATGTGAAAATTAAGTTACAAGAAGTGATCTGAGCCGCACAAATTTTTTTGACCTAATCATGGCCGTGAACCTTCCGGAACGGTTGTAACCGTTCCAGCCCCTCCTCCCTAGCACAATGCTATGGGCTCACACTACCTGCAGCATAAAACATTCAATTGCAGTGCTCTTACAACTGGCTAGACCAAAACGCAGTCAGGACTCAGGAGGCTTTTAGGATACTGCAGTCTCCTACCTAACTGATGGTTTGGCATTTAACTTGAGATTAAACTCAATTTCAAGCTGATCTTGGTACTTCGACTCATTTGCGCCCCCCATAATATAATCGTTGGTACGTTTATGCCCCAACTAGGAAAGAGTTAAAGACACCCTAAACCAAAAGCCAAAAATTTTCCTTGGACTCGCTTTAATGACATGCTGCAATCTTGCAAATTGCAGACAGATTTAATACCAACCTTTTTACCAATGAATCACGGAGACACAGCAACCAGATTCGAGTCAGCAGGAGCATACCGGCATACCCTATGGCGGAGTTACAAGCAAATACTGGGAAAAAAATTAGTTAAAAAAGAATTAGTAGATCTCAAGTTATCAATAGCGAAAAGGGAACATCTCCAAAACCTACAAGAACCAAGAAATCTTAGTCTTCAACCTACATTTGACTGGTAAGACTAATTTTGAATACGAAGAAGATGATGTGGTCAATTTATAACCGCATTGCTTGAAAGCAATTCTGCAACCAGAAAATTGACCTTAATCGAGCAAGTCTGAAACTGCCGTCTTTTTAAAGGGATCCACCTGAGCCAATTGAGCTGCCAACGCTCTGTTGGGGAATATATTGTCGGCCTTCATCCTCTCATGGAAACCATATACAGGTGTCTTGGCATTAATATAGGCCTGAACAAGCGATTGATACTGTCGAATACGGGATACATACCCCACTTTTCTCATCTTGTGGAACAGCTTCTCAGTATTGTGTACATCACCTCTCTTCGAATACTGATCCATAATGGCCATAAAAGAACTAAACAGTGGTCTCATCCGGTTCTGTTCTGCAGCCTTCTGTAGTATGGAGTCAGCCTTTTCCACTTCACCAGCATCAACATAAAGCTTAACAAGCGCATCCCAAGTCAGTGGCCCTATATAGCAGTTACTATCAGCCATCCGCTTCACAAGATCCTTCCCTTTGTCCAGCAATTTCTGATTTGCATAGACTTTCAGTAGAGCCGAATAGTGCTTCCCAGACAGCTTACTCCATTTTTTCGCCATAGATTCAAAGACTGCTTCTGCTTCTTCGACCTTCTTTAGCTTTCCCCAAGCTTCAATAGCTGCTAGGCATTCCAGAAGCCGCGGTCTAGATTCACAAACTTTCCATATTCTGTGAACTTCATCAGCTTTTCCAAGGTCTGCATATAGATGAAGGAAAGAGTGGCAGGCCCAACGGTTTTCTTTTATATCTACTCCCTCCATCTCCTGCAACAGACTCTCAGCTTTCTCCTTTAGCCCGCCAGAGATGTAGTGCCTAGCTAATAAGGCTTTTGTTGCAAAATCAGGTTCTATGTCGTCATCCTTCATTGTCTCCACAATTTTTTCCATCCCAGTAATGTCATATGATTGACCTTTAGCGTCTATCAAAATTTTATATGTGAAGAGGGAAGGCTTTACATTATCCTTCTCCATCAACAACAGAACATCAGCAATTTTCTTCTTATCACACCTCTTATACAAAAGCAGCAACTGGTTACAAGCAAAGCTAGTAATTGGGAACCCCAGATCCTTCATCTTATTGAAAACATCCTCAGCCTTTTTCAGATTTGCTACAGCCACACAATTAGCTAATAGAGTACGATAAAGAATTTCACCTCTGAAGGATTTTGGGATGTTCTGAATGTAATTTTCTGCCTTCTCAATACCACGCACTTTGGCAATCAAATCAAGACGAGAAGCATATTCTCTCTCACCAAACTCGTGACCACCTTTCAACTCCAACCACTCTGAGAGCTGTCCCAAGAAAATAAGTAAATAAGAGCATAAGTAACTCTAGAAACACAGAGAAGCATGATACAGATCAGATGAAATTATGTGTGCGTCAATCAGATGCTAAAATATCTGTTCAGAATGTTTGTAAATCTTTCAGAACGATACACTTGAAGTAGATATAAGAAGCGATCCCCAGAAAATGTTGTTGTCCTCAACACATGGGAAAGTAGATAAGGAGCATTTGGTTACAAGAAATTTTTTCTGATACTTCCCAGTTTAGCGCATAGCACCGAGCAGAGTCTGACACAGACTGTTTAAACTGGTCCACACCACTCAAATAATAGTATTAAATCTCAGAAGAGTATCCTTTCCCTCCATTGTTGCATATCTAACCTCAAGCATCACTTCAAACCAGTCTAATATCGGTGGCATGTCCCATACATGACATGATGTATGCTACACCTTAACCATACAGCCAATTAAAAATATAATTTAACCAAGAAAACGTCTATTGTTAATATAATTCATACTGCTATGTAACCTCAACAGTGCAGAATCAGAACATGTGCCAGATTTTGGGAGATTTTTATTTCAGGATAAGCCAGAATACCACAATTCCCCTTGTTTCCAGAGTTTGGCTCATAGAGCATTTACAAGGATAAAATGGGCAGAAGCACTATCTAAGTATGCCACTCTTTACAATAAAAATGTAACATACTAGCAATTTCTAAACTGTTCAAACCAGGATCATAGCAAAGGGACTCAATGACTACATGATCAACAACTATTATGCAGAGCTGAGGACACCATCCCTACTGCTCTTGAGAGGTGAAGAGTGACAGAGAGAGAGAGACAGAGAGACAACTTGATCTTTGATTGTTAATCAGAAACAGATTACTACTATGATCTCAAAGGATGAAAAAACTTTGAGGTATTTGAATGCTAATAACTAATACCTAGCATATCCATGTTTTGAATGTCCATAACCATGCCAAAGTTGGCCAAAATTTCCTAGTTGACTGCACTCTATGTTACCTGTATTCAGCTATGAGTGTCGGCACTGTTACATGTCTAAGAGTTGGATGTGTTATTTTCTAAAATCAGGGGTATATGGGACAAGGGAACAAGTGCCAGGATATGGGTAGTGGGATGTTTTCATAATATACATATACATATAGTATGCAAGAAGTTATGCCCTGTAGTATTTTTAAAATGAAAAGATAATTTCTTAAATTTAATACGCAATACTTATCCATGATATTTTATTAGCAAAGCAGTTGGTCTAATTGTGTTATGTTATGTTTAGCATTTATTGTCTGGTAAGGCGAAGACTTAGAAAGCTTTGACCTGTTAAAAAGCTTGACCTTAGGGAGTTTTTAACTGACCAAGACCACTAAATTTTCACATAACTGCCAAGCAAGCATAAGAATAAAAAATTTGTCTGGTTTTGAGACCAATATTGCTTTTGATGCTTTAAATGTCACTAACAGTTTATATTGGTAGATTAGACCCACCAACCATTGTCCTGGTTCTCATGACTATCCTATCATTTGCTATTCTGTCATTGCTGTGTAATCATCTTCTGCACCCAAAGTAGTTAGAATTTTAACTTTCCTCAATCTTTCGCTATGCAAAAGCCAATTTCATCTTTCTACCTTTAGTTCTTCTTGGGAACACCTTTAATGCAGAGAGTGGGTTATTGCAGCCACCTATTCACCAATGATAAGCAAGCCATCAACCTCTACCAAGTCAGACCCAACACTTTCCAAGGTCAACGCACCCATTCAAATCTGACTGGAACCGATCCAGATTCCAGACCCATACCCCATGTCAACCATTGTCATACTGTTTCTACTTGGACTACACATAATGAAAACAGACAACTAGAAAACCATAAAGAGGGTACCAATAAATCATCACAAACATCTAATTTCTGCTGTGTTCTTGGATAAACACCGGCTATTAAGTTCTTGAAGCCAAAAACATGTTAAAAAACTAGCTAACAACTTACTTTCTCCCAAAGACTCAGACTGCAAAGAGAAAACTTCCCGCCTCCACATAGAAAGGCATAAGATCTCCATAGATAAAGAACTTCCTTTAAAGGTTGATCAAGAACAAGGCAACCTCTTTATAGGGATATACTTTAATATATCGAGTATCAGGGGAAGATACTAATAAGAGGGATACAAGTGTACAACATGGATACCATAAGGCCTTAAACAAAATAGTCTGGTTTGTTACTTAAAGTAACATACTGTGCTCGTTTGGTTAGAAATAAATTCATTATATCTCTTTCCAAGCTGATGCAATTTAAAATGTCTTCATTTGCTTATTTATGTCTGCTTTTAGTTTAATTTATGCTTTATACAAGCTGTTTTTATGAGTTCTACACATACAGATGCCTACAGAACCATTGTGTGCAAATTCTTAGACAATTTTTCCAAGATGATATCTTTTAGGCAGCTCTCCAAAAGCTAAAACCAGCTCAAAACATGCTTACACGACCAACAGTAAAATAGAGAAACAGAAAACCAGTAACCTAGTCTATAGCTATGACTATAAAAAACAAAGCAATGTTCTAAATATTATGGCCAAATCTGCACACCGTATACAGCAGGTATAAGATCAAATTACCTGCAAAGCCCTCCCAAACATCCGTCGCCTGCGCAGATTGAGCATGGTATATGCTATTTCAGGGCGGGTCACTTCATTTCCTTCTTCAAGCCATTTGTCTACAACCTTATGAACAGATAAACCTGGAGCAGCCAAAATGACCTTGAACAATTCTGATGAAGCAGTTTTCTGCAGAGTTTTCTTGCCTTTGTCGTCCTCAGCATCTGATAATTCCAGCTCATCTTGAGGTTTGTGCACCCCAATGTCATCATCATCCTCTTCAGAGAGTTCTGGTTCAGAGATTAAATCATCCTCATTTCTGTGGGTTGCATCACTTTCATTAGTGATATTAGAGGTAGTTGAAGTTTCAAGTTCAGAAAACCCATCCTCCAAATCATCATCATCATCTTCTCCACTGCTCTTTGTGCCAGCCTGAGAAGCAAAACTGCGGGTACCCAGAAGTAATTTTGGAGAATCACATGTTGTGTTGAAGAATCGTGTCAGAGACAAATGCTTATTGGATATCAGTTGATGAGGTCCAGTATATCCTGAATTGCAGTTCTCCACTGTGCACCTTGCTGTTTCTAATTCATTGCAAATTTGGGAAGTCCCAACCCTAAAACTTTGTTTCCTAGATACAAAATAATAAACTTAATCAGTAAAGGACTATGTAGTCAATATTGTCTAGACAAGTAATCCAGCAATTTTTCCTTAACATTAATTAACATTCAAGCACTGAAAGAGGCAAAAACTAAACAAAAATAAAAATAACCACTTACTGTAACTGTGTCTGGAGTAACCCTATTTAAGCCTTGCTATAAGTTAAAAAGACCCTGACCAGAAGCAGCATGGCTCCCATTTTAGGAGTAACTCTATTTGGACCTTGCTATAAGTTAAAAAAAACCCTGACCAGAAGCAGCAAAGGAATCATGGCTCCCATGTTAGGACCACTAAATCCCAAGACGACTAGATCAGTTTTTTAACATGTAGAAAGATGCAGGTGATGTAGAAATGATGGAACACTAAACTAATTCAAGGAGGCAAAACAATTACCAAAGGAAAAATTTTTATACCAAGCCCAAGCTCCAAATCTACTCAACTAGGCAGACCAAGTTGCCTCTAAATTTGTACTTCTCCAATAAACCAAATGGCATTAGAAGACATCACCTTTGCATTTTTCTTAAGGCATTATCTCTTTTTAGGTGGGAATTCCAAACTAATGATGCACCCACAATTCTGGGGAGATTACACCTTAAATGAACATCTCTAGTGGGATTGATCGAACCTGTATCCTTCATTAGACAATTCACTATCCCTGGTTTCTCTGATTAAACTAGAAGTCAGCTAAGGAAGCACGTAAATCACTCAACAAGTATCATCATTTTATCACTAAGAAAAACTCTTATTCCACAAATGCATATACAAAATAAATACCACATTAAAAATACCAGAGAAATTATTCAGAACTCATGCAAGGAGATATGCAAGTACTGAAATATGTGCTTGGCCACAGCAGGGGCAAAGAAACTAAAATTAAACTACATTAGCATCTTACAACCTTCCAAACTAATATCAGCTTCTTTTGAATCTAAACTTTCCCAGTAAATTTAGTATTTCAACTAAACAAAGATACACTAAACTTCATACTGGTCGAAATATTAGCAGCTGAATGTTTAAAAATCTAAGCCCACAGTTAGGCACATAAAATGAAAATCTCATAATCTGCTGCTAAAATGCGTAATCAGTCATTTGACTAACTGGTTTCACAACCTCAAATCACCAGAGGACACCTTTTAACCTCTAGGCCATCGAGAGAGAGGAGAAAATAACTGCTGAAGTTCCCAAGCACCTCCCAATAAAGCTAAAAGTCATCAGATTCAGCCCTTTCCCTTTACAACTTCAGAAGTTTCCTTCTCTCGTAAGCGCATAAGTTCACTTAATGAACTATTCATGAGTTCGAAAAATAGCTGATAAAATAATTAATGGTGTTAAGAAGATACGAAATTGACTTCCCCGATTCCAAAGAGCTGAAAGCTAATATCTAGCTAAGAAATTGCAGATACCTAAATCAATCTTTCTAGATCAAGAAACTGCATTCTTTACATATCCATACAGTACTTTGTTCTTCATAGAAATAGAGAAAGAAGGTAGGGTGGGGGTTGGGGCGAGGGAGGTGTTCTGAAATCCCGTCTCCAAGTATCACTATTTCCACAAAAAGCTGATTCCAAAATTTCCCTTCTAAATTTTTCCTTTTTCTAACCAAAAAAAAACCTTAAAATTACAAATTAAATTGCATAATCAACTAAATACTCCAATCAAAGCCCCATACATTAAAACCCACATCGCAAAAACACTCCATAAACAAACAAACAAAAAAGAAAGAAACTAATATGCTAAAAATAAAGGGCATTTCTTAAGCCCTTTAAAACCCACACATAAAAAGAACAAAAGAAAGTTGATAATAGAAGTAAAAAAGCACATAGAGGAAGAGAAGGAGGGAAGCCTACCGGAAAGGATTAAAGGCTCGACGAAGAGGCAACATCATCACAATTGATTTTTGCCTTTGGCTTTGATTTGAGAGGGCTTGCCGAGTAGAAATGAGGAGAGTAGATAGAACGTGTGTTGAAAAGCGGAAGAAGAAGAGAAGAGAGGGAGACGGAGAGAGTGAGAGTGGTCAAATGCTTAAACCCTAACAAAAGCCCTATCAGCTTTGGTTTGGTGATGGTTTAGATATTTTTGGGAAAATGGAGGGTAGAATGGAGAAGTTTTAGTAATGGTGATGCATTTTTATTTTTTTGGCAATATTGATGAGGTAAATAACCAATTTCATCACTAAACCTTTTTCTAGAGTTAATTTAGTCCTTAACTTTTATTTATGGCCAATTTAATATATGAACTTAATTTTCAGGTCCAATTAAGACCTTCTGCTGCGCCACCATCTAAAATCAATTTAGCTCCTAATTTAACAATTAAAGAAGAGCATTTTGGAAACTTTGGATTATCTCCCCTCTCCACTACCAACCTCCGTCACCAACCACCCACCTCTTTCTTGTTCTCCTATTCTTCTCCTTTCATCCCTCTCTCCCCACCCAATTTCCCTACCTTTGAATTTACATTGTAATTGAGAAAGTAGGAGAGATAATTTGCAAATGCTGTAAAAAAAAAAAAAGGTGCTGTAATTCTTTTGCTTCCTCGAATAAGTGGGAACGGGACTAGGGACTAGGGAGTAAGGGAGATTCAATTGCCATTCTCGTCTTTTTTTTTTTCTACTCGGGGGTATCCAGATTTCGGGTATGTTAGATCCGACTAATCCCCCTGAGACTCGAGAGGAGAAACCTCATCCCCTCAAACCGGTAACCACTGGGACTCGATCCCTGGTGGGGGAGAATGGACAACGAAACCTTAGGAAGCTTCCCATGACCAACCGAGCTGTCCAGGAGGAGCAATTGCCATTCTCGTCGTTTCCTACTCTTATTCATTCTTTTCCGATGCGATGCTATCAATTTCCCTCAAGAGTTGATGTTCATGGTGCTCCAATGTTGTTTCCTCAAACTGGTGGTTTTTCAACTTTTTATCAATGCGCCTATTGTGACGTATACTAATTTCAAATGTACAGTGACTGTTCCTCTCTAGCCGTGGTGGAAATTCCACTTAGCCTCAATATACAGTTTCCATATATTTCCAATGTAAAGGAAAAAATTAGCAAATGGTAATAGACTTGCAACCCTGTAGCAGGGACCCCAATGAGACCCCAATGAAAGAACTCCCTACTTTTCCTTTCTTTTTTTTTTTAATTCCCTCTAGTGGTTTGAGCACATTTACTAGTGTTTGGATACCAAAATTATCTCACATAATATTTCGCTTGCATCACAAACACATTTCCCAACCTATCTTTTTATATTCCCAACTACTTTTTATCTCACATACATCACATCACAAAAAGTGCTACAGTAATTATTCCAAATAATATTTTAAATAATACCCTATCCAAACCTGATAGACAACTACATTGTTTAATAGGAGTCATAAAACAGTTTCCCCAACGCTAGTCACTCGTTAGCCAGGGAATTCTGAGACCTACCGTAACCCATTCTGCTATGAAGCTGTTGTAAAGTAAAAGCATAGTTTCGGTCCGAGAGAAATACTACTGTTATGCACCATGAGCATCAATTCTTAGCAGCGGACCATGGAGAGATGTTAGGTGAAAGTTGATCTTAGGAGTATAAATCGGAATCGAAATCGGTGATTCGGAACTTTGAAATAGGAATTTTTGGGAATTTTGGTATCAAAATTTTTGATCGATTTTGATTTCGAATTCACCAACTTCGAATTCAAATTCGTTCCGAATTCAATTCGAAATTCGGTAAATTCTGATTTCACTGAATTCATGAATATAAAAATTGTTATTATTATATAAATGTTATATTATATATAAAAAAAATATTATATATAATATATATATATGAAACCAAAATTGAAATCGAAATAGGAATTCCGAATCACCGAATTCAAGAATATAAAAATTATTATTATAATATAAATGTTATATTATATATATAAATATTATATATATATATGAAAAACGGATTTAAAATTGAAATAGGAATTCCGATTTCCGATTTCGATTTCAATTTCAAATTGTGAATTTGAAATCGGAATTTCCAATTTGAAAAATCTCATTATCGAATTCGACCCAATTTCATCTAATTCGAAAATTGGATAGTCTGATTTCCATTCCAATTTACCGAATTCGGTTGATAAATCGAAATTTTTTGATTTTGCACACTCCTACTTGATCTCCATAAACATCACATCTTTGGTGGGTTAATAGGAAAGAGGGTGACTGAGGAAAGTATTCGACAGAAAGAGAAAGGGAAGGAAGGGAAGGCAGTGGTGGCCGTGGCAAGGAGGGAGAAGGTAGAGGACGGGTTAAGAAATTAATTAAAAATACCTTTAAAAAGTTTTAAATTAAATAATACTCCAAATGCTAATGATTGTTTTAATTTACTTAGTTTGATTACAATTCACACCTGAAGTTCCCGAAACACCCTTATTTAACTGTTAACTTAGAAATCCAATTGCTTTTAGATGGTGGTGCCGCCACAAAGTAACTTAATTGAATTCAAAAATTAAATTAAGGAGCAAATTGGTCAAAAATAAAAAGTTATGGACTAAATCGACTCTAGAAAAAGTTTAGGGACGAAATTGGCCATTTTCCCATATTGGTGCCACAATTGCTCTTTTTATTTTTTGATTTTTCCTTTTTTAAATAGTCCTGACAAATTTGGGCAATAATTGCTAAAATCTACTATTAGTGAAAAAGAATTAAATTTCGGGATAATTAGGGATGTTTCTCAAACTAGTATCACTTACCGTCCCTAAATTTTCAAAAAAAAAAAATCACTAACATTCTCAACTTTTAACTTTTTGTAATTTTATCAATTCATTTCAAAATATAAGTAAGCTTTAAAGAGTCATCTTGGAAAAGAGAAGATAAATTTCATTTCAAAATTGACCTTTTCTTTTGGCCTGTTAATGAGCATGGCGAACCCATTTTAATCCCTAACTTGTAAGAACTTGGCAAATGTGGTTCTTTAATGGAAAGCACAATTTGAGATGGCAAATACAGGCGTATGCTCATGCAGTCCCCCATATAGGTCGTAGAACCAATATGCATAGGGCTAAAATGGAGTATGTGCATTTTGAAACCTCCAAATACCCGATAAATTTCATTTTACTTTTTTTTAATAAACCTTTCTCACTTTACTTATAAAAAAGTCTATACTTCTCTTTATTGCTCATGCAATAATTTTTCAAGGGATAATTGCATAAACCTCCCCTGAGGTTTCTGACACTTGCACTGACCTCCCCTGTGATTTAAAAAATTGCACTGACCTCCCCTGAACTTACTAATCCTTTGCAAATTTAGTCCAAACGATTAAATATTGTTTTAGGGAGTGAAATTAGAATTTTGTACAAGATTTGCCATTTGTGCTACATGTCTAATGAATAACAAAGTACTACAAATCAATTAACAATTAATAAACTTTAAGGGGTATAGTTTATGGGCAAATACGCATTATACATTTAAAATACCGGCCCTTTATGGGTATTTTACTTTCAAACATTTAATTTATGATAAATATATCAATGTTTGTAAATAAAATTTCAAAAGTGTTACAGTAATAAATATTTAAAAAAAAAAGAAATGACCCATAAAGTATTAATTCTTTATGGCTTTCATCCATTAGATTAGTAAAGTATTGGCTCTTTATGGGCATTTTATTCTGAATCATTTAATTTATGTTAAATACATTAATATTTATAACTAAGATCGAAAAAGTGTTACATTAATATTTTTACGGAAGGGAAACTGGTAGATTTGTATTTACTCTCAAATATTTAATTTTTGTTAAAAACAAAACCTACCAGTTTCTCTTTTGTAAAAATATTAATGTAACACTTTTTCAATTTTAGTTACAAACATTTATATATTTAATATAAATTAAATGATTTAGAATAAAATGCCCATAAAAGCCCAATACTTTACTCATCTAATGGATGAAAGACATAAAGAATTAATACTTTATGGGTCATTTCTTTTTTTTAAAAATAGTTAATTTATATTAAATAGATAACCTACCGATTTCCTTTTTGTAAGAATATTACTGTAACACTTTTTGAATTTTACTTACAAACATTGATATATTTATCATAAATTAAATGTTTGAAAGTAAAATACCCATAAAGAGCCGGTACTTTAAATAGGTAATGCGTATTTGCCCATAAACTACACCCCTTAAAGTTTATTAATTGTTAATTGATTTGTAGTACTTTGTCATTAATTGGACATGTAGCACAAAGGGCAAATCTGGTACAAAATTTTAATTTCACTCTCTAAAACAATATTTTAATCGTTTGGACTGAATTTACAAAGGATTAGTAAGTTCAGGGGAGACCAGTGTAATTTTTCAAACCACAGGGGAGGTCAGTGCAAGTGTCAGAAACCTCAGGGGAGGTTTCTGCAATTATCCCATTTATCAAAATAAATATTTTTTTGTCAAATTCCATTTTAGTCTTATCCTTGAATTATTGGACCCAAAAATTAATAAATATTTTAATTTGATCAACCAATATAAGGAAAATCCAAATGGGTGCGTCCAATCACTAATTCAGAAAAAAAAATTTACCCTTCTTTTTAGTATAAAACCAACTAGACTTATTTCTTTTTTTTTTAATTTTAGTCTTAATGTATTCTACTTTGTAGTACAACAGGGACAAGGTAGTATCTTCAAAAAAATTATCCACATTAGCAACAATGAAAAGGAGAAAAAGGGAAGAAGAAGAAAGGTAAAAGAAATTCATCACACTAAAAGCTGAAGCGTCATAGAGAGTCAACGTACGATGTTCACTTTTACGATGAAATGCATGTGAGATCATAACAGGGTGGCATCTGTAATGTAATAATGAGGAACGAAGGCGGGAAAACCCACTGTTACAACACGAAATCAAAGGACAGGATTCGTGATGAAATGCTTATTCTGCATTAGGGACTTCTACAATCAACCGCCCTAATTATATTATGCAATCTAGGTTCCAATACGATAAATTAGAAAGTAGCACAACAATATGCAAAGAAAGTAGAACAAATATTGGTACTCCTCAAAAATTGTATCCA